GGCTCTGAGTCAATAGCCCATTCGGCCTTTGGCCTCATGGGCTATTGACTCAGAGCCCATAACTACACATTGAGGCTGAAATTCAAGTCATGCCAACGTAGGAAAACAATTGTTCCATGTTCCATGTGAGAGTATTGATAAATACTCTTAGTTACTCTTGTAAATTCAAAGGTGTTTTTGCCTTCATCTTCAAGGATATTCTCGCTTGAAATGTCTCATCCTTCACTTTTCGTTTCTGCAATGAAATTATCAAATTGTCAGTATATTATCCAGGGAAGAATCAAAGGGTGTAAGACCGGTGCAGGTAAGTCGGAAAACATTAAAATTGTTTATATATCCTGCGCGTATGCCGCAGTAATAGAAAAAGGGCATGTCAACGTTTTCTCCTTTTGTTGTTAAAGATTTTAAAAACACCCGCTTATTCAGTTGTCAATGAGTTGCAAGCAAGTAAGCGATGGATTCTTAATGCAATAAATGTAAGCTATAACAGAATCTTCGCATACACGACTTGTAGTTTTGAATCTCCCTAAAACTTAGGTCCCACCAATTAGTACGCAGGGGAAAGGACCGTAGAAATTCCATACTGATGACGTGCAATACTCAGACCTGGGTAGTGCTGCCTGATTGGTCGTGCCTCGAGTGAAATTTGCTTCAACCAATCAAGCACTACGGGTGCTTACCATATGACAGAAAATTTCGGAAACTCCGGATGGAAGGTAAATGGTAAGGTCACTTTTCGGAAATTCCAACCGAAAATTGAGGAGTACGTTTTGAGGTAGTCCGTTCATTCCAGTTGGTACGAACTAAATGGAATGTTGCTTACCATTTACAAATTTCTCGGTTCCTTCTCGTTTCCAGACTCACGCTACACAAATTCGCCCCTTTTTGTATTCAAACCGTAACGGGTGTGGCAATTCTGCGGTAAACTGGTAAATCGCTTACCATTATGCTTTCGACACCCCAACCGGATTTTTCTGTTAAATGGTATGCACCCCTGGGGAAAACATCCGAGGCCAAAGATTAGCAAAACAACAACTTTGCACGTGCATCACGCTTTTTCGGGCATTTTCGTTGCCATCGATGCACGACTACAGCGTGAAACTACCTAATTTCACGTCAGTTTATGCAGAACTTGAACACTGACAAGACAACGATTTTCCTTCTCTTTTCATGAACTTAGATAGAATCTTGCAGAATTCAACTCCAGAAAAACTCGCCAACATTTTATAAACTGAAACCGAGGGTAAAAGAACAGCGTTGATGTTTAAAACAGCGCGAACTCACATTTTAAGTGAAGGTTGTTGTGTGGCAACTGCCGCCTTGATTAAAACCGTAGAAGCTAGACGGGAGGAGAAATTGTTGGAGGGAAGATTTACATCTGTGGACAAAGTGGGAAAATGGTAAGAGCAGTTTGCGTCTTTTCCTTCCGTTAGTTATTATCATTTGTCGATAGAATAATGTGGTTTTCGTTGTTATATAATATGACACGGTTTTGAAACGAGTTTCTAACCGGCCAACACTTCAACACTTCTGTTCATTTTCGGCTCAATATTTCTTTCGTTGGCTTTTCTAAACTTAATTTCTCACTAATGTTCATATACTGTGATATCAAAGCTGTAACTAATACCATGCATTTGATTGATCGTTTCCAAGAATGTCGTTGATCCATGCCTGTCGATATTGGTCAGCTTTTTTAACCCTTTCTGTATATTTTCTTTGTGCAGTAGTTTCTGCAAAAAAAGAAAAAGGAAAAAGCATGTTAGAAATACGTAATGTTAATTGTACCAAATGAAATTAATGAATTTGAACCGAAAAAAATTGATGCGAAATTCTCTTTTCCCGCACACCACATTTTGGGTAAATTTGATTTTGAACATACGCGAATAGCTGTCGCCATTTGCTCGCTTGAATTTGTTATTGCTTATACAACTTAATATTCCAGCGGGCAGTTAAGTTGCACTACAACTTGCCCGATCTCCGTAATGCAATATTTTCCCCTCAAAAGTTTGCATAGGGATTTGTTTACAGTTTTTCAAAAACGTTTGTTAGTCTTAAGAGAAATTGAAAACACTACTTATGGAAATTTTGTGGGGAACGTGACAGTCTGGTATTCACCATTTTCATATAGACTATAATGCACCCCCAAAATTTTGCATAACCATATCCTTCGATTTCTCTTGGGACGACTGTAATACCCTAGACTGAATTGGAGACAATGCTGACGAAAAATTTGAGAGGTAAGTAAGGTGCATTCTGGTGTATGTGAAAATGGTGAATGCTGCGAATGAATCCACTCCAACTGATTTCAAATACTGTTTGATGCAATGAAACGTTGATTGATGTCATTATTATTCAAAATGGTGACACGCGGGAAATTTAAAATCGAAAATAGGCGAAACATCATGTCCAGTTTTTGGTATATTAAAATTTCTTTCCAGATCCGGTCTGAAGAGAAATTTAAAGTATAACAAAACTAAGTCTTAGGCTTAGACTTTGCCTTTGGTTTCAAATTATCACAAAGCTATGGACCTGCCACCTTTGCACTCACTTTAGGAACGTCATGTGGTATAAAATTTGCCAATACGAGTTATCGCAGTCGAGTCTTTATATTCTATCAAAATGAGACGACAATTTACATGTAATAGTCGTGCAAAAAGTACAGTTCATTATTGTTTGCTGTGAGGGCATATAAGGTCGCTACTGCATCAAAAGAGGTAAAATCGTTCTTAGCTTGAGGCTTCGTGGTTGTGTTGTTGTGTTCCGCATTCACGAAAAAGAAAACTGGCAGTGTTTTTCCTGCCTTCTGTCACGCAACTTTCCACCATTCTTTGATCATGAGCTGTACTGTATCCCGAGCGGGATACATTGCTTAATGCACCTATCAATGTAAACCCCGTGGGGGGGGGGGGGGGGGGGGGGG